GATGAAATAGTTGTTTACAACTCTTTTATTACTCTTCAAATAATTAATAGTTGTTTACAACACTGATATGATCCCAAATCGCTTGCTCTTGAAGCTTTCATGGATTGAACAAAAGGCAAGGTCATTAAGCCATAAAGAGCCACAAAATTTGCTAAGTGTTTTTGGTGTTGCAGGATACCCACTGTGGAGGCTCGGATCTTCCAAGTCATGTGATGAAAATGGGAGTTTGATGTCTTGTTTTGAAGATAAGAACTTTATCTACATGGTGGAGTGCGTGGGTGATCAAGGAGAAGCCCAGAAGGCTAGTTTTGGAACTCACCAACTTGTTAAACCTAAACCGAGAAATTGGATGTTTTTGGCTAAGGCAAAACACGAGTTCGAGGTGCTGACTTTGAGGCTTCATATCTAGTGTTTGGGGCAGAGCCAGGAGGTGATTCAAGTTGGAGAAGATAGAGTGCAACTTTCTAAACCCAGAACGGGCATTGGTTGATCTCGACTTAGCTGGGAAGGAGATGATCGAAGGGTTCAAAGAAGCCACCTTGCACTGCCAGTAATCCGAGTCCAATGAGGATTCCTAGTTCAATTCGGATTACAATTATAATTCAGTTTCTTTGTTTAGTTAGGTTAATTTCAGTCATTTTTCTAGTTTGTTTGTAGTTGTTAAGCCTATAAAAGGCCTCATTCCCGAATTGTAGTAGGCAGAGTTGAATTTGAGTAAAAACCCCAAATTTCCCAACGTGAGAGTTGTGAGTTTGATTTGGTTTTGGTTGCGATCGAAAATTGCTGAAACCCTAGCCTATTGATTGAGAAACACACTCCATTACATCGAAGGCATCACTATAGCGATCGTGTAATCTCCCAGGTGTGAGATTCCTCTTTCGATTCCATCCAATTGGCTTCCAAACTGGCTTACCTAAGCTTGTGGAAGAACCTTGTTTTGTGAGCTTGTTCGAGGAAGGTTAATCCGAGGCTTCGAGACCTCTTGGCTGCGCGAATTCTGACTAAAACCCTGCTTAGGGGTTTATTAAGTGGCATCAGTAGCCTGTTTCAACACAATGGGCACCACGACGAATCAAGGAGGCCCCGAATCAACCCACTAGACGAGATCGAAAGGTCCTGTTCCTAGTGAACCTGTTGAACTGTTGTCGGAGAAGAAGAAGAAGAAGAAGGTTGCAGCGGCGGCGAAGTTAGCTGAGCTTGACCGGTGCTAGGGACGAGGAGGACGAAGCTGTGGGAGACCCGCAGCCCGTCACGATGGCTGAGCTGCAACAGTTTTTCCAGCAACAGGTCGTTGCTCTGTTTCAGATGCAACTGACCAAACAGGACGAGAAGTTTAAGGCGCTCTCGTCCAATTTCGATGAGTTAAATCATACGGTCGCGTTGATTAGCCAGCGAGAACCAGCTCCGACGACCCCGGTGCGGAGCACAGGTTCAATTCGAGCCTCAGCGAATCTTGTTGGCGAATTTTGACAACTCACTGCAAAATAGAGTCCCAGACACCGATCAAGTTCTGGCGGATCGGGTTTGAGACCTGGACGACAATTGAAGGCTCTGGAAGTCAATACTGAAGACCAGCAGCCATTCAATAGGCCTCGAGGGGGATTCTCGTGATAGACCAATAATTACACCTGTTTTTACCCCTATTATTGAGCCATTTGAGAGGTTGATTCTCGTGTTTTAAGCCGATTTCACGCGAGGTTGTGCGTTTATGTCATATTTCAGGGCCCAGCGTTGGAATCGAGGCAAGGAAACGAGTTTTGGGTCGAAAGGAGCGAAGTTGGGTCGAAGTGTGCTGCAGGAGGAAAATGCCCGGTCATGGGCTCAAATACCCAACCGGGTATTTATCTTTTTTGGCGTCTGAGAAACAGAAGGGGTCCCGGTCGTGAAACATAAATCCCCGGTCGGGGATTCTTGGGACAGACCGGGGATTTTCCCCTGACATTAAACGCGCGTTTCATTTATACCCGGTCGAGACCCAAAATACCCGACCGGGTATTTCGACCGAGTATCGCGACAGACAGCTTTTTAAGGGAAAAGAAGGCTAAAAATCAAGGGTTCCGAGTTTTAGAGAGACAGAGCGATTCCTAGAGAGAGAAAGCGACGAATCAGAGTTCCCAAGTGCCATAGCTTGATATTCATCACCATTGGAGCCCGGCTTGAGCTTGGAGAAGTGCCGATTGACAACCAGGATCAGAAACTCATCCTTCACAGTATGATTTCCGCGTTTGAATCTGCTTTTGCTTCTCTCTCCATGGAGTAGTTTTCCCATTCATCTGGGTATGGAGAACCCTAGATTAGTATGTTAGGTCTGATTGTATGAACCCAAGTACAGATTTCATGAGTTGATTATATTCGATTGAGGCTTGAATGATTGAATGACTTGAATCCTGATCAAATTCCTGTTGTTTCTGCTTTAACCTAGAATGAGAATATCTGCCTAGGTTGATAGAGCACCCTTAATTGAAGGTGGCGAATTGGTGACTTTAGTCGAGGAGCCAATTCGCTATTCTGTACCGAATTCAATTCGGTAGTGGAGGTTTGGTTCGTTAGGGCCTCAATCTGTTTACTCCGGTGGAGGTTAGTCGCCCGCTGGAGACTCAAATTGAGAGGGTCTGGAGACCTTTAGTCGAGACTTCAGACTGTTTAAGATCCTTCCGCAGTATAACTTTCATGGAAACTGAACTTGGTAAATTGCAATCCGGCTTAACTGCAGTCTAGGGGGAACCATATCCGGTGACCTCTCTCGACTTGAAAACAACCGTTTAACTTGCTTTGTTTGTTTGTTAATTTGGACTTGCACTAAAGTTTCACTGCTAGATAACAAGAATTCACCGAGTAGTCATCAAATCTAGGACCCGGGTTGACATTAAAACCCAAACCCGCTATACTACGCTTTAGGAAGTGGTTACACTTGGCCAATTTCTAGAGTGACAGTAGGAGTGAGTCAAGTTTTTGGCGCCGTTGCCGGGTATGGCTAGGTTGTTGAAGAAAAGTGATTTCTGTTACTTTAGCACTTTCGTTTTCGCAGTGACTGTTTGTTCTTTCCTACTTGTGCCTTCACGGGTTTGCTTGCTTGATTGTGTGCAGGTAGTGCATGACCCGTAGCAAGTTGGGAGGTTTACTGCCGTTGAATCCGGAGATTGAACGCACCTGTCGCCAACCCAGGAGACAACAGCGAGCTAGACTGGCTACGGAGGAGCGCATAGACGGCAATTTGAGCAGCGAGTTCGAGCGCGAGTACGTGATGGAAGGAGAACACAACCCACCCCCGGGGAATCCTCTCCAGGTTCCCCCGGTGAATCAGCTCTTGGGGAACAACCCCATACCCCAGGCAGATGGGGTTCATCATCACCCACCACCACCGGGTCCCACCTTGGAGTACTACTACACTCCACGGATTGCTGACATCCGCCCGGTCATCCTCTATCCGCCCATTCCAGAAAACAACTTCGAGATCAAGCCATGTTGGATTCAACTCATTACATCCTCTATCCAGTTCCATGGCTTGAAGGATGAGGAGGCAAGGGTGCATCTTTCCCGTTTTCTGCAGCTGACGAACGGGTTTAAGCTAAACGGTGTCCCTGATGATGCAATCCGCCTTCACCTCTTCCCCCATTCTCTGGCGGGGAATGCTAAGAGTTGGTTGGAGACCCAGCCCCCATTGTCCATCACTTCTTGGGACGATATGGCAGACAAGTTCGTGCACAGGTACTAGCTAGCATCGAAGACCACAGAAATTCAGCGGGAGATCACTCACTTCCGCCAAGAGCCAGACGAGTCACTTCGTGATGCATGGGAGCGGTACATGGGATATTTCTGGCAGTGTCCCCATCATGGCTTCAGTGATGCATTCACAGCGGGGAACTTTTACAGTGCTCTCTCCCCGGACAGCCAGAGGGTGATTGAGTCTCTATGCCCAGGAAGGTATATTCTCACTAAGACTCCACCCGAGTTGAACCAGATGATCAGTACCTTGGCTGCTAGAGATCACTCCTGGGGGCAGAGCAGCAGAGGCAGAAATCCCCGGGACCGTGGTGTGCACGCCATGGAGGCCAGGTACGGGCTCGAGCAGCAGGTGGCCGAGTTAGTGCAGACATTGAAGCAGCCCAACAGTCTTATTCCGGGCTGAGGTACGGCTACGCCTCCAGTAGCTCAATGTCAGTGGTGTGAGAGCCCGAATCATCTGGTGGAGGACTGTCAGGCTATGTGGGAGTCCTCTACTCCCCAAGAACAGGTGGACTTCATTGCCAATGATCGGCGCCTTGACCCATATAGCAATATGTACAATGAGGGGTGGCGCCAGCATCCCAACTTTGCCTGGAACAGCAACGCCACTAAACCACCTGGTTTCCCAGCACCAGCGGGTGGTTTTTAGTAGAGGCAACCCTTCCAGGCTAGGCAGGGGCCCCCACCACAGCAGCAGGCCTACCAGCCTAGGCAGGGGCAGCCATTCCAGCAGTCCCAGCGTCAGTATGCCCAGCCTCCAGCAGCTGCAGCTCCAGATAATCAGATGACGGATCTGAAAAATATTTTGCAGGCATTCATGACCACCAGCCAGGCGAATTTCACGAGGATGGATCAGAACATAGCCTCACTGGAGGCAGGCCAGAGAAACCAAGGTGCCATTCTGCAAGATCTACAGAATCAGATTGGGAGCTTAGCTCGCCAAAACACTACTAGGGCACCAAGGACTCTGCCTGCCACCACTATTCCGAACCCTCGTGAACCACACCAGCAGGCTGGATGCAATCACTACCAGGAGTGGCAAGACCACATCTGCTGCTCCCGCCCAGCCCGGGCGAGACGAGCCACTACCTGCTTCAACACCTCCAGCTGATAATGCAGAAGTGGGGGAAGGCAGAGAAGCACCTGCTCCCAAGCCACAGCCTGTGGTTAAGGAGCATGTACCCCAGCTGCCCTTCCCCACTCGCCTTCATAAGGACAAGTTGGAGACAGAGTTTGCCAAGTTCATGGCAATGTTAAAGTAGGTCAACATCAGCATGCCGTTCGTGGAGGCACTGTCGAAGATGCCCAAGTATGCCAAGTTCATGAAAGACCTCATCACCAACAAGAAGAAACTTGGGGATCTTTCGACAGTGATGCTAAGCGAGGAGTGTTCTGCTATCCTGCAGAACAAGCTGCCTGAGAAGCGCAAAGACCCAGGGAGTTTCACTATCCCTATTGTTATTGGCAGCATGCATGTAGGAAAGTCCTTGGCGGACCTAGGCGCTAGCATAAATGTCATGCCTTACAAATTGTTTAAAAAGGTAGACCTAAGTGAACCTAGAGCTATTAGGATGAGCATTCAGTTAGCTGATCGTTCCATCGTGCATCCTAGGGGTATCATTGAGGATCTGCTTGTTAATGTCGGTGCATTCACATATCTTGTTGACTTTGTTATTTTGGATATAAATGAGGATGTGGATGTGCCTTTGATTTTGGGTAGACCATTTCTCGCCACCGCCAAGGCGCTTATTGATGTGCATTGTGGTAAATTGATCCTGCGTGCTGGTGATGAACAGGCTACTTTTTCTGTGTCTGAAAATGGGAAACACTCTCATTTGCATGATGACATAGATTACTGTGATGTGCTTACTGATTTTGAGACCGCACTCGCCATAACGAGTGCAGGTACTGACGATGCTCTTGAGCGTTGTATTTTTCTAGGTAAGCAGGCATCACAGGAGCCGCAGCTGGCGGAGCAGTTGGCCGCATTGGAGAGTGGCCCATTCTTGGAGGGTGACAGGCTGTTCAAACCGATCTCATCCTCCACTCGCATCACTACCTCCTTGGAGGAACCACCAGAGCTGGAGCTTAAGCCCCTCACTCCTCATTTGGAGTATGCATTTCTCCGGGAGGGGAATAAGCTGCCAGTCATCATCAGCTCGACCCTCACACCCGAGCAGGAGAACATATTGGTGGCCTTGCTGAAGCAGTACGAGCGAGCTCTAGCGTGGAAGATCACAGACATCCGGGGGATCAGCCCCTCCTTTTGCTCCCACCGGATACTGCTAGAGGATGAGATGCGGCCAGTGCGACAGCCGCAGAGAAGATTGACACCGAACCTGGAGGCAGTGGTTCGGGCAGAGATCGTGAAGCTGATGAATGCGGGGATCATCTTCGCCATTTTCGACAGCGAGTGGGTCAGTCCCACCCAGGTGGTACCCAAAAAGGGTGGGATGACAGTGGTGCCTAACGAGAAGAATGAGCTCATCCCGATGCGCACGGTGACTGGGTACCATGTTTGCATTGATTATCGGCGTCTCAACGACGCCACTCGGAAGGACCACTTCCCGCTGCCGTTCATTGACCAGATGCTGGAGCGATTGGCGGGGCATGAGTTCTATTGTTTCCAGGATGGGATGTCCGGGTACTTCCAGATCCCTATTGCACCGGAGGACCAGGCGAAGACCACTTTCACCTGCCCCTTCGGCACATTTGCCTACCGGAGGATCCCATTCGGGCTATGCAATGCCCCGGCCACTTTTCAGCGATGCATGCTTGCCATCTTTGACCGTCTGGTCGGCGAGATTATGGAGGTGTTTATTGACGATTTCTCGGTTTATGGAGACTCATTCTCTCACTGTCTCCATAACCTGGAGCTTGTCCTTAAACAGTGTGAAGAAACGAACCTGGCACTGAGTTGGGAGAAGTGTCACTTCATGGTTCGGGAAGGCATCGTTCTTGGGCATAAGATCTCCAAGATGGGGATTGAGGTGGACAGAGCGAAGATCGAGACTATCAGCAAGCTGCCTCCCCCTACATCTGTTAAGGGAATCCGGAGTTTTTTAGGTCATGCAGGGTTCTACAGGCGGTTCATCAAGGATTTCTCGAAGATCGCCCTGCCCCTGACTAAGGTTCTAGAGAAGGATGCCCCCTTCCAGTTCACTGATGCATGCATAGCGGCGTTTACAACCTTGAAGGAGAAGCTCACCCAAGCTCGTATCGTGGTTGTTCCTGACTGGTCCCTACCATTTGAGCTGATGTGCGACGTCAGTGACTTTGCTGTTGGAGCTGTCTTGGGGCAGAGGCGAGATCAACACTTTCGACCTATCTACTACGCCTCGAAGACCCTCAATGATGCCTAGGAGAACTACATCACCACGGAAAAGGAGCTGCTCGCAGTGGTGTTTGCCTTCGACAAATTTCGTCCCTATCTGGTCTTGTCCCATGTGCCCGTGTACAATGCAGTCAAAATCTAGATTTTAAGTAAAATCGAAAACTGAGGTAGAATCGAAATCGTAGATTAAAATCGTAAAATCGTAAGATTTTACGGTTCATATCAAAATAAATACTTAAAACACTAGATAGTAATAAAAATGCATATCTTGAATAACAATCAACCACATAAAGCATAATTACTTCCCAAGATAAGTTTGTTTGCTAAACAAACACAACTAATCCATATATTTTTCTTGTACATAATAGAAACACACAAATAAGAAACCTGAAACATTATAGATATCACTGTTAATTCATTGTTAAGAGTAGAAAATCACATAAGATCGTTAGGATCAACATTAACATCACTTACACATCATCGTCATCATCCTCAACCTCACCCTCACTCTCATCGTTTTTATTTGCTTAAGGACTAATATCATTACTCTTATGATCACTTGAAGTACTTTCACCATTAACCATATTTCCTTGATTACCATCATCTGGAAAAGATAATTCATTGATTGATGCATTCCCTTCTTAATTGATAAAAGGTCGGGTTAGTGGTGCTGAAGGATTAGGAGATGAACAAAAGCTTGCAATGTAATGGAGATTTGGATTATTGTGAGGGTGGTTGGAACAAACTACAAGCTAATTGGGAGGGTGGAAGATATCGTTGATGGAAGGAGTTGTGTGCCGACGTGCGAAAGAGGAAGATACGAGGAAGAGAATGAAAATAAATTGAGGGTTAACTATCAGGTTGGGGTTGTGTTGTTCATTATGTTGGGTTGGAGAAAGTAAATTTGACTCGGTTCATGGGCATAACCCAACTTGACCGGCCTAATTTTGATCCAATTGATATGAACCTTGAAATCGTACAAAATCGGGATTTTATGGGATTTTAAGGTTCAAAGATTTTACAGTAAAATCAGGATCGGAACCCATAGGTAAGATCATAAAATCGTAAGATTTTAAGATTAAAATCGGGATTTTGACTACATTTCCCGTGTATACAGATCACTCCGCGATTCGATACCTGATGAGCAAGGCCGAAGCCAAGCCTAGGCTCATACGATGGATCTTATTATTGCAGGATTTTGACATTGAGATTCGGGACAAGAAGGGAGCGGAGAATGTTGCAGCTGATCACCTCTCCCGGTTCGACGCACCTCCTGCAGACAATCTCGTGGAGGAGATCAACGACTCCTTCCCAGATGAGCGACTGATGATGATGTGCCTGGTGGAGAGTGTCACCCCCTGGTATTCTGATTTTGCGAACTACTTGGTGGGCCAGCAGCTGCCCAAGGGGATGACAACTCACACCAAGAGGAAGTTCTTCTCCGACCTGAAGCATTACTTCTGGGATGACCCTCATCTCTTCAGGATCGGAGCCGACGGGATCATCCGTCGCTGTGTTATGGAGAGTGAGATGGAGGGCATTCTATCTCACTGTCATGAGGGACCTACTGGCGGTCACCACGGAGGAAACCGCACGGCAAGGAAGGTGCTCCAATCGGGCTTCTACTGGCCCACGCTCTTCAAGGACGCTGACGCCTTCGCACGCCGGTGCGACCGATGCCAGAGGTTAGGTAACATCTCTGCCCGTGATGAGATGCCCCAGAATGTGTTTATAACCTGTGAAATCTTTGATGTCTGCGGTATCGAATTCATGGGCCCCTTCCCTCCATCTTTTGGCAATACCTATATTCTGGTTGCTGTTGACTACGTCTCTAGGTGGGCCGAGGCGCAAGCTTTGCCCACTAATGATGCTAGACGTGTTTGTGGTTTTCTGAAGCACCTATTCTCCCGGTTCGGGACACCTAGAGCCATCATAAGCGATCGAGGCACCCATTTCCAGGGCCAGTTTGATAAGTTACTGTCGCGCTATGGTGTAACTCACAAGGTGTCTGTGGCCTATCACCCTCAGACCAGTGACCAGGCCGAGCTGACGAACCGGGAGCTCAAGCGGATCCTGGAGAAGACGGTGGATCAGTCCCGAAAGGATTGGTCCACCAAGCTCGATGATGCTCTATGGGCATACCGCACTGCCTACAAGACGCCCATTGGTACTTCACCGTATCGGCTTGTCTATGGAAAGGCATGCCATTTGCCCGTGGAGCTAGAGCACAAGGCCTTCTGGGCCCTTAAGCTGCTAAACTTGAATGTTAGTGTTGCAGGTGTTGAGCGCAAAATGCAGATGCTAGAGTTAGAGGAGTGGCGTTATCACGCCTATGAGAACACCAAGCTTTACAAGGAGCGCACTAAGCGCCTGCACGACGCACGGTTGCGGGGTCCGAAAGAGTTCTAGGTTGGTGATCGAGTTCTCCTTTATAACTCTCGCCTGAAGCTCTTTCCCGGAAAACTCCGCTCCCGGTGGTCTGGACCGTACACGGTCACACAGGTGTTCCCGTATGGCACGATTGAGATTGCCAACCCGCAGAGTGAACCATTTAAAGTGAATGGCCATCGTCTCAAGCTCTACTTGGGAGGCGAGGTCCAACCTGCGGAGTTGGCAGTGGACTTAGCGGACCCTTAGTTCCACAATGGGCATCCAGCTAAAAGACGGTAAAGAAGCGCTTGTGGGGAGGCAACCTCACCACGGTTTGCATTTCTTTTTCCCCTTTTTATGAGTTTTTGTGTCGTCTTGAGTCAGTTGCATGTCTGTGGTGAAGTTCGGTCGTCTGTTATGCCTCGATTTGGTGCTGTCGTGCAGGAGAGGTAAAAAATTTGGGCGAATGAGATTTTTGGTCGGAAGGGGGCAAATACCCGGTCGTGGGCCAAAATACCCGACCGGGTATTTTTAGTCCACGATCAGGCCCCCTTCTGTTTCTCGGGGTGAAAAAGGGAAAACCCCCGACCTTGTCCCAAAAATACCCGACCGGGTATTTTTGGTTCACGGCGGGGGTTTTCCCAAGATAGAACGCATCGTTTTCAAACCCCCCGACCTTGACCCGAGTATTTTTGGCTCAAGGTCGGGGATTTCCTTGCACTCGACATGCCGCATTTTGGAACCCCCGGTCGTGGAATCAAAATACCCGACCGGGGATTTTTGCTATTTATAGCAAACCCCCGGTCAGTTTCTTTCTCTACCCTCATTTTTCAAAAATTTCCCCTCTCTCTTCCTCTCAAATCCTCTCCCCTCTCTCTTCTTGAGCGCCGCCGGCAGCCGCGCTCCGCCGCCCTAGCCGCCGCCGCCCCCGCCGCCGCCGGTCGTTTTCCGGCGACCTTCCGGCGGTTTTTGGCCATTTTCCGGCGAGCCTCCCGGGTCATTTTTGGCCTCCGTCTCGCGTCCCTCGCCCGTTTTTTGAGCCCTAGCTACAGTTCTACTTGCGTTTCCAGGTGTGTTTCTTGTTAACTGCTCTTTCCTGGAAAATCGAACTGTAGATTGTAGGACCGAGAACTGTATTTGCTTGCATGATTTAGAATAGGGTGAGGGATGCTTTGAGTAGCATGGTTCTATCTATGGTGTATGTGCTGCCCGTGTAATTAATGTGGTTGGTTCTGTGGTTCTTGCCTTGATTTTGGTTGAGTTGCTTGCGATTCAACCGTCTGTGCTTAAAACTGTTAGCCTAGGTGATCCTTAAGTGTGGGGGAAGTGATGAACCCATGATGTTGGTCCTGATAAGTCTTTTCTTGGCTCCACCTTTGGTTTGTTGATTTTGCAGGAGCATGTCCCTCGACCATCAGTTTGTGCAGTGCCTGAGCCTGCACCCGGATTACGCGGACTAGTTCTGCGCGGTGACTCGGGGGAAATTGGAGCGCCACCACCATCTGGAGTGGGCAGTGTTCGAGAAGCTCCACTGCATATAGGAGCTCACCGCCGCAATCAGCCACCGCGATTGGCGGACGCTGCTGACTATCGAGGAGCCCACCTACACTGAGCTGGTGTGGGAGTTCTACACCACTTTCAAGTACGACAACAAAGCGGCCCGGGACTCCTATGCAGTGAGATTCCGGCTGGATGGCTATCCCCGGGAGCTAACAATTGACGGGTTGGCCTACGCCTTGGGGATCCAGTATCACCCATCCTCCCGCCATGTGATCGAGGTCCCGAACCCAACAGACTGGAACATGGATGAGTTCTACTCGCAGATTGCCAGGCGCGCCTATGCGTTCGACTACTTCGACGCTGGCCAGACATACGTCCGCTCCCTCAAGCCGCAGTGGCACATCCTGAACCTGCTCATCACCCGCTCCATCGTCCCCAACGTCACTGGCTCGCACAAGATTCCGAAGCGGGTGCTCTATGCCATGTACTCGAAGAGGGACCCAGATCACATGCTGCATTTGGGTTCCTTCGTGGCCACCACCTTCTCTCGATGCCACGGGAAGCCCAACCGTCTCTATTGTGGTCCCCTGATCACCCGTCTAGCGCGCCATTTTGACATCAGCTTCCAGGGGCTCACAGATTCTTCTACACGGGGCGGCTCCACCCCCCTCAGCCGGGAAGTGCTCCACAATGCACTCCTCCTGGTCACTGATGGCATCCGCACTTGGGTGGATGGGCTTTCCATGCCTCCTGAGGAGGATGTGGATCTCGATGAAGATGAGGAGGACGCTGACTACTCTGGCGAGGAGGAGGATGAGGATGATGATGATGATGATGGCGGGGCCATGGATGCCGATGAACCGGAGCCCCCCACTCTCTCCACCAAGGGACCTTCGGCCACGACGGAGATCAGAGAGAGGTGAGTTCTCCTCCGGTCCTTCTGGTCCGTCGATGGAATTCTTCACGGAGCAGTTCCAGCAGATGGGGCTCCAGTTCCAGCAGCTCGGTCTTCAGAACCAGCAGCTCATGGACCATCAGGTCCAGTTCTACCAGCAGTATTCGGCCCACCAGGCCGAGTACCAGTCCAGGCTGACGGTTGTTGACGAGCGCCTCGGCCGCTTAGAGACCCATATGGGAGTCACGGGTGCTCTCATCGAGCGAGAGAGAGATCGAGGTCGCCGATTGATGGAGTACTCGGAGCACCTGCTCCATGCTCGTAACCCCCCAGAGGAGCACCACTGGGCCACCCGGTGGGATCATTCGCCACCACCACCAGAGGATGGAGACGACGACCTCATGAACCAGATCGACTTCACCGGTCTAGGAGGCCCCTAGTGGCATGTTTTGAGTGTTTTTGTTTTTGTCAGCGTGCAAACTGTCTTGTGTCGGTTTAGTTTCTCTCTTTTTATTTTGGATGTATTACTATTGGGCTGACCATTGGACCTAACGTATTGTGTTTGAGCTCTTTGGTTTCCTTTAGCTGTGCTTGTTCTTGACTGGTCCTCTCTCCAGTCCGCTTCACTCCGACTGGTCCGCTTCCAGTCCCCTGCAGTCCGTGCACACCGATAACATCGTTCCCCTTTTCCTTCCCTCTTCTCCATTGAGGGCAATGTCGATCTTAATTGTAGGGGGATGTTTATCTTTTGACTACGTTGGATCTGTTTGTGTGCTTGGAGCCTAGTCCACTGTCCAAATTTTTTAATTTGAGGGCTCCAAGTACGTGTTCCTTGCAATTGCCTGCTCAGTATGCTTTGAATTGACAGTCTTTTTAGTAATGTGCAACCTAGGGAGGTAGTGTAGCACTATGGAGGATGTTGATGCATTTAAGAAGTCTCCTTTCTCCTTCATATTGTGTTGGTTGATTGTGTGAATTAGTGATCTTAGGACCCTTGAATTGTGTGGTGATGTGGACTCTCTACCTGTCATGGACTCCTGTATCATGTTTTTGAAATAAAATGTGCTTTAAAATAACGTCTCCCGTGCGAATAGGGCGAAAGTGTGTAAGGGGAGATAGGAATCCGTTCCCAATTTCCACCTACTACCTCCAGCCCCCTTACATGTCTTTCCCCCGCACGAGGCTCGAGACATCCGCTCCTGGCATGGCCGGTAAGAGCCGGGCTCCCGCAAAACCTCTGCTAGGTGGGAGCCCCATTTTCTGAAAAGCAGGTTGGGACCCTTGAAAGAAAAAAAAACAGAAAAAAACAGAAAACAAGCAAAAAAGAAAGAAAAGGGGTTCCAACCATCTTCAAGAAGAAAATAGAGCACCTTAAAAAGGTGAGTCCATGATCTTTTGTTTTTGAGAGTCCGTTCGTCCACGATTCATTTGTCCTCTGTTCACTATTTGTCATGATGCCGACTCAAGACTAGCGCTCTCGCCGAAGAAGCTACGAGATGACTTGTGCGTCGGTTGACCTCGTAAGCTGCTAAATGATCTAGGAAATCCTCTACCTATGATCGGGGTTGTTGGTTGCTATAGAGGTCTGGAGAGTTGCATTGGTTTGAGTTAGGTTTGCTTGGGGACAAGCAAACGGTTAAGTGTGGGGGAGTTTGATAGACCAATAATTACACCTGTTTTTACCCCTATTCTTGAGCCGTTTGAGAGGTTGATTCTCGTGTTTTAAGCCGATTTCACGCGAGGTTGTGCGTTTATATCATATTTCAGGGCCCGGCGTTGGAATCGAGGCGAGGAAACGAGTTTTGTTTCGAAAGGAGCGAAGTTGGGTCGAAGTGTGCTGCAGGAGGAAAACACCCGGTCATGGGCTCAAATACCCGACCGGGTATTTATCATTTTTGGCGTCTGAGAAACAGAAGGGGTCCCGGTCGTGAACCATAAATCCCCAGTCGGGGATTCTTGGGACAGACGGGGGATTTTCCCCTGACATTAAACGTGTGTTTCATTTATACCCGGTCGAGACCCAAAATACCCGACCGGGTATCGCGACAGACAGCTTTTTAAGGGAAAAGAAGGCTAAAAACCAAGGGTTCCGAGTATTAGAGAGACAGAGCAATTCCTAGAGAGAGAAAGTGACGAACCAGAGTTCCCAAGTGCCATAGCTTGATCTTCATCACCATTGGAGCCCGGCTTGAGCTTGGAGAAGTGCCGATTGACAACTAGGAGCAGAAACTCATCCTTCACAATATGATTTCCGCGTTTGAATCTGCTTTTGCTTCTCTCTCCATGGAGTAGTTTTCTCATTCATCTGGGTATGGAGAACCCTAGATTTGTATGTTAGGTCTAATTGTATGAACCCAAGTACAGATTTCATGAGTTGATTATATTTGATTGAGGCTTGAATGATTGAATGACTTGAATCCTGATCAAATTCCTGTTGTTTCTACTTTAACCTAGAATGAGAATATCTGCCTAGGTTGATAGAGCACCCTTAATTGAAGGTGGCGAATTGGTGACTTTAGTCAAGGAGCCAATTCGCTATTCTGTACCGAATTCAATTCGGTAGTGGAGGTTTGGTTCGTTAGGGCCTCAATCTGTTTACTCCGGTGGAGGTTAGTCGCCCGCTGGAGACTCAGATTGAGAGGGT